CAAAAAAAAAACAATTACAAATACACTAATTCAAATAAACCAATTCAAGAATCCTAGAGGTCTTGTCCTTTTAGCTCGCCATCGTTTGCTCAGGATCTGAGGATCTGATCCATCATAAAAAACCTGACCTATAAAAGGCCAAAAAGAAACAATTATATATTTTATCTAATAAGTATGCAACATACAAATGCAATAAATATCAATTCAAATACGATTAAAGTTTTAGTAATTAAACTAAACATTTGTCAGGTTAAATTAACCATAAAACAAACAAAAGAACAATCATACTTCACACTAATCAATTTAAGGTTAAAGTTGAAAAGTTGAAATCAAAGTTAACTTTCAACGTATCAATCAAGGAAAACAAATAAATTAACTCAAATACTCAAGCAAAATGAGGAAAAGAAATATACTGCGCAATAAATTCAAATGTAGCTACATCCTAGTTTTAATCAAGAAATCTTGCACAAACCCAACAGTTACCTTTGAGCAGAGAGTGCCAGACTACAATCAGCTGTGAATCCCAGTGACGGCCCAGGTAACGACCGCTGACAGTCTAATAAAACAATGCTCCAATGATCAATTGAGCAACATTTTTATGGTGAACAATACTGCAATCAACCCAGCAAACTCACCAATAGTTCAAATCAGTTGTTTCAAGGATTTGGATGGATTTCCAAGATGAAACTTTCAGCAAGACGCCAACAGCCAGCCACAATCACAGTGGAACAGGTGCAGTGTTACTGCACTGGAGGCGGGGCTTTAAATAAGTTGGAGATTTTAGGGCAAAACAGGAAGTGGGCCCGCAAAAATAAAAGTCTTGATTAATTGACTAATTACGGGTTACAATTAGTTTTTTTTACAGTTTCAATAAACATATTTGCCAATACATCCTCCTGCTTGAGGTGTTCTTGTCAGTTAACTAACCAGCAGCTATTTGGTTACCAGTGAAACGGTCCGTTATAGCAACACCTTCCTAAAATAATTGTGTAACTCAAATTTTGCAAACTAAGGACGTTGGCAATTATTTTAGGACGATGACAATAGTTGTCTCCAAGCTGGTGCTGCCTGGCCTGGCTGTTGCTTGTTTTTCATGGGGGCTACTGAGAGAACTTGTCAAGAAACTAACTGTTTGTTAGTCCCCTGAGAAGTATTCAACCTGTTTTATCACCTGTTTCCACTACAAGACACTTCATTTTATTTTTCTCACAGTCATTCAAAAAAATCCCAAATTGAACTTTGCTGCTTTCTCCCAATTTTTGTTGTCATCATTTTGCAGTCTAGCACCGAGTGGCAGCAGACTGTAAATAAATGACGTTACGGGCCATGAGGTGCTATAAGACGCCCACAGTTAATGTGAAACTGCTCGGTTTGAAGAAAAAAAAGATTAGTTTAATCTGTCCACATGGCTTAAAATAAATTGACAAACACTAAAACCAAGGGTTTGTTATTTCAGTTAGTTTTAGTTTTGTAAAAAAGTTTATACAGTTACTGTTAGTTATCATTTTTTTCTTTTTATTACAGTTTTTATTTCAGTGAACTAAAATGTTTTTAGGTCTTAGTCTGTGGTTAAAGTTTCTGCAGCTGGTTCTGGTTTCTAACTAAAGATTAGTTCCAGTTAAATCTTGTTGTGATATCATTTCTAGTCAAATCAGAAATCCTGCCCTCTTGTTTTCCAGTACCTGAGTCTGTTGAGAAGTTGTGACGGCTACAACGAGATCATCTTCCCTCACTGCTCCTGTGACTCCAGACGTAAAGGTCACGTGATCACAGCCATCAGCGTACAGAACTTCAAGCTGCACGCCTGCACAGAGGAGGGCACGCTGGAGGTGCGTCTGCTTTCTCTTTACACATACGTGGCAAAAGCTCTCACAGAAGTATAAACACAATGGTTTAAAAATACTTTTTAGGAGGTAGAAGTATCAACTCAACTGTTGTATTTTTATTTTATACACTGTACTGATCCCCCGGTTGGGAAATTAATTCTCTGCATTTTAACCATCACACACGTGAACACACTAAGGAGCAGAACTTTTACTCAAGTAAAAGTGTAAAAGTACTGATTTTAAAACTATTTATAGTATAAAAGTGAATGTACCATAATGTAAGGAGGAAGACGGGGCATTAAAGATAAAAGCTGCCGTCACACCACATGGTTTATAGTGCACAACCCCACCTTCTCAAAAAACAATTACATTTCTCTAAAAGATATGAATAGTTTATATTTCTCACTCAACCACAATAAAACTCATTCTGTCCAGAGGTTCCACAGATTTTCTTTTTATTAACATACTTACATACTTACTTAAATTACTTAGTTACTTACTTACATACTTACTTACATGCTTACTTACTTACATACTTACTTACTTACTTACATACTTACTTACTTACTAACTTTTACATACTTACTTACTTACATACTTACTTACTTACGTACTTACTTACTTACTTACGTACTTACATACTTACATACTTACTTACTTACTTACTTACATGCTTACTTACTTACATACTTACTTACTTACTTACATACTTACTTACTTACGTACTTACTTACTTACTTACGTACTTACATACTTACATACTTACTTACTTACTTACTTACATGCTTACTTACTTACATACTTACTTACTTACATACGTACTTACTTACTTACATACTTACTTACTTACTTACGTACTTACTTACTTACGTACTTACATACTTACTTACATACGTACTTACTTACTTACATACTTACTTACTTACTTACGTACTTACTTACTTACGTACTTACATACTTACTTACTTACTTACATACGTACTTACTTACTTACATACTTACTTACTTACTTACGTACGTACTTACTTACTTACGTACTTACATACTTACTTACATACTTACTTACTTACTTACATACTTACTTACTTACTTACGTACGTACT